CGATCGACTCGTATTTTCATCAAGCTCGTGTTTTCGGAGCACTCGAGGTATAATATCGAAAGTTTTGCAACGCTTGGAGGCATAATAGAGAAAAATCGAACGAGAGGTCAATCGCCGGGTCTTTTCATTAAGCATTTTCATCCTCGACGACCTCATTTTCGTTCCCTTAGGGCCAACGCGTGTTCTAGTGCGATTTCCTTCCTTGCGTATCGATTCAATTGACTTTTTCATACTTCGCGACACTCAGGGTACGACTGCAAAAGTTTTGCATGAGGGTCGATCGACTCGTATTTTCATAAAACTCGTGTTTCCGGAACACTCGAGGTATAATATCGAAAATTTTGCCACGCTTGGGGGCATAATAGAGAAAAATCGAGCGAGAGGTCGATCGTCGAGTCTTTTCATTAAGTATTTTCATCCTCGACGACCTCATTTTCGTTCCCTTCGGGGCTACGGGCGTTCCAGCGCGATTCCTTCCTTGCGTATCTATTCAATTGACTTTTTATCCTTTGCGACACTCAGGGTACGACTGCAAAAGTTCTGCATGAGGGTCGATCGGCTCGTATTTTCATCAAGCTCGTGTTTTCGGAGCGCTCGAGGTACAATATCGAACATTTTGCAACGCTTGGGGGCATAATAGGGAAAAATCGAGCGAGAGGTCGATCGCCGGGTCTTTTCATTAAGCATTTTCATACTCGACGACCGCGTTTTCGTTCCCTTCGGGGAAACGCGCGTTCCGGCGCGATTCCTTCCTTGCGTATCGATTCAATTCACTTCGGCGAGGGGCCCCGCTCCTCTTTTGCATCTCCTTGGAGCCTTTATTTGCGGTATGTGCCGCCGCCGGTGGTTATTGCGCACTACCTCGAAGAGTAAAGTTGTGCCACGTGCAGGGAGACGGAGGGGGGGAGAGAGAGAGAGAGAGAGAGAGAGAGAGAGATGCGACAAAGTGCGGAGCCGTCGAGGCTTGCTTTTACGCGAACGCGCCAACCTGTCGAGGAGCAATACGAGGGATCCTCCTGCCGCTTTGTGACCTGGCCGACCATCGATTCCGTTCTCGAGGCATCGATCCAAGGTCCTCCCTCGACTTCCATTCGTTCTTGCGCTTTTCCTCGGGACCTCCCATCCATTTCCGGTATTGTGGATCGCCAGTTTTCATGCTTGAACGATGTACCCCATTTCCCCTCCTAAAAGCCTGCCCGTGACTTTGCGCCATTCGACCGACCATTCGGACCTGACACCACCTAAGAGTCCACCAGGACCTACCAAAGATAGGAAAAGAACGAAAGGACCTTATGTGGGAACATATGTATGCAGGACCTCTCTTCAGACATTAATTCCCACGGAGATGATGCACTCTACCTCCAAAAAGGCAAGTCAAGCCCGTCTCGGGAAATCGGTCCACGCAAAAGAGGGAAAACTGAAACTCAAGGAAGAGCCGGGAGTGGATAAAGAAGCTCAAAGTGGCGGCTTCAACCTCGTTTCTCCCGTTTTCAAAGTTTGGCCAGCTCATTAAGACACGGGGCTAAATATGCCCGCGTCGGCGTAATTCCACCACGTGCCGCGCGAGTCTTTTTTCCTTCTCTAGAAAAAAGTGGGAACGAAAGACTTTCTCGAGTCTGGCGCCTCTTTGATGATTCCTCGTCTCGAATTAATATTGACTTCGATCTACGAGGACTACTGCCGAGCGGGCATCCTCTTTCTATATATTTTTCTATTTCAACCCGGTGGTTCGTTACGTTGTCCTTTCGGCTCTTTGGCGGTGGGAGACTTAATCCCCGACTCTGCGGAATCAGCTGATCGGCCGGAGGCGTGCGCGCGCAGCAGCGCCGGGTAAACGTCGACAAGTTTCTCCAGGGTTCAAATCCGGCCTATAAGGAGGAATTACAGGAGATTATAAGGAGGAGCGCATCGATCTCCCCTGGCCGTCTCGATAACGCGATGTTCGGGCCGAGTCTTCCGCGGATATTCCTCCTCGGAGCGGCAGAGGTATGCTAATATTATGCGCCGCTTTCATAACGCGAGGCCGAGCGTGTTTTACTTTCGTGAAGTTCCCCGTCCGCTTAATACTTTCGGCAAAACGACCGAGAAAAATCCGTACACCCCGGCAAACTGCTTTACCATATCCGCTCGACACTCCAGGAATGTCTGCACGCGCGGCCGTAATAATACGCGACCGAGTCACAATAAAACGACGCCCGTAAATGTTTCACGTTGATGATGATAAAGTTTTAAGGGGCCTATCATCTCGGGATACCGCGATTTCCGGTTAACCAGGTGCCGCCGAGTGCCTATTATTCCCACTATTTCACAGACGTCCTCCGCGGTTACGCCGAATGCTCGTTAAAAAGAGGTGGCCCTACTGTCGAACATTATAATTCAGCGCGGCGGCCGCAATTGCGCCCGGCAATTTCGCCCCTTCGCGATCCGACCTTTTTCCCCTCTTGGTTTCCGGGTCGGTTCTTTCTTTTTCTTTTTTTCCCTTTTCTTCTTTTTTTTTTTTAATAATTTACCGCTCGCCCCCAACTCCGCCCGTTTGTCACTTGGACCACCGGGCGGACCTATAATTCAATGTCCGTCCGGAGAACTCCGGCAGCGTTTGAGCAATCGCCTATGATTCCGAGATGATTTCCTCGGGGCTTTTTTCCCGCCCTTCCACTCTTCTTCCACCCTTTTCGCTCGTTAAGTTCAAATAGCGCCATGGCCAGGAGTTATTAGAGACGAAAGATCGCCGATTATGACACCGCATGGAATAATAATCCTTCGTCTTGACCGCTGGTCAAGCCCAGATCCATCTTTGGGTGGAGGCAGACTATCCGACACGAGCCGTCGCTGATAAAAATGTCCATGTAAATTTACACACTCAATCATTGATTATTTTGACGTCACAATAAATTACAGTAAAATTACTTTATCTCTGTAACATCACATTTGGTATCTAAGTTTAGTTAAAGAAAATTGTAATGTAACATTAGATTTAGTTCCAGCAGAAATGCACTATTATGGTAAATATACAACGTTATGCGTATATTTATACATTTCCTAATTGCAATTTTTTCATTTTGAATTCTTTTTTGTGAAACTTTAGGTATGATGTATGTTAAATGTATGGAAATTTCTATAGATTCTTATCAATGGGTGCCGATCCGGAGAAACATTATAGGGAACATACGTTATCAAGACTGTTCATATTATACTCAGGTTGGACAGTATGAATAGCCCCATTGAAATACATATTACAATGTTTTGTGGAATTGGCGCCGACACGTGTCAGATAGGGTGAATCCACCTTTATAAGGTCCTAGGGTAACTGTGGACCTTTTATTTTCTTAGTCGTAAAGATTTGATATCCAAAGAGAATTTGCAATGAATCCCTAATTGAGGTTCAATTTGTATAGTTTAAGGCAGTCGTACCGTGTGACGACTGTATTTTTCGCTTTCCTTGTGAATTTTTTCTAACGAACCATGAAAATACCCCATCTTGGAATTTTTACAATATGTTTATTAACATTTATACAGTGACTCAGAATTTTGTCAAGCGAAAATATAGATTGGAGTCGACTTTACAGCCTTCGAAAGACATACACGTGAAAACCAAGTAGGTTGACGACAGACATAATTCCGGTTGTTCCGTTCGTCGGAAATTAAAAAATGAAATGGCAATTTAATCCATAGACCTGTGGCTATAGCCGGAACTAGGATCAAATGAAAATATCAAAAATTAAATTTTTGGCACGGTTTTGTAAATTTATTTCCGATTTTTGTCCTTTGTTCGACTTTTTAAGCTTGCTGAAAAAACACTATAACAGGTATCACAATTATCCTAGTTCGAACGAGAACTATACGTGTATTGAACATATCATATAAATTTGAGCAAAATCGATTGAGGAGTTTTTGAGAAATTGTGTCAGGCAATTTAAAAAATGCAATTTTTAAATACACGCTTGAACGCCAAGTCAGAACTAAACTAACCGTTCCTGTAGCGTCTCATTTAACATAGGAAGGGATTTCCAATGAGTTTAGTATCTCTTTTACATGAGCATTAGTTAGAAAGGTCTTAGGTAGCAGCCGAATTCATTGAATTCATTGAATTCATCGTAACGAAGGCTCTGGTGCTACACCCCTCTCTCCGAAAACCTGCTTCGTTCTGCGTCTGAAACAACCCAACGACTTGGAATATTGATAAACCCTCTATTCTACGTATTCTAGACATATTATAGAAGCAACTTATGAAATAATATATTTTTCCATTTTTTCGACCTATCACACGGTACGACCGCCTTAAAGAAATAAGGAAATCTTATTGCTTGATGGCGAAGATGGCGGACACCCTTGGAGGTTCGCAAGAGAGGAAGGGCCGAACTGGCCAATTTTTCTCCCTATCGAAATTATGGGACGAATGAAAATTTATCGCCTTCTTCGGTCGACGAGATATCGACTGAAAAGTCCCCAGTTTCACGGCATTCAGCCGACCCTTTTAAGGCGCCTCTGCGTTTCCCCCGTAATGGAATGCAGTGCGATAATCTTCCCGCTGGGCCCGCAACTTGCGGACATTAATCTCGCTGATGGGAAAACTTTTCTGGCCCTGCGCGTTATTGCGATCGAAACTTAAAGCGGTGCTTTCGAATCCAGGGCGAGTCGATATTATGAGATAAATTGATCGCCTGATCAAAGTAACGACGGCTCAATCCTTTCTGGAGTCGGCGACAATTCTGCAAATCGTGGCACCAAGAACTTTGGTCCGCCATTTTTGCCGGGATTTAAAGTAACCTCTTCCTTTAATGCCTCCTGAAAATTGTGTAATTTTTCAAACACACCGCCGATATACGGAAGAATTTTTACTCGTTTACTTCAATTGTTTCGTCAACCTCTCCAACGATTTCGGCCCTCTCGAAAATCCACGTCTTTCGGCACTCGAATTCAATGAAAAAATTTGCAAACACTTTCGGCTTCGAAAATTAATCCGTCCTTTAAAGTTTTAAGACATAATTTCTTACACAAATATGACAAGCCAGTGTGGCTGCGGAGTGTGCTGTTTCCCAACGTGTCCACCTTCTAACCACGCGAAACCAATGATGCCTTACGACGAAATATCGCACGAGGTGGACAATAATTTCATCTCTTTTAAATTGCCAAAAAATGTGAGGCAAGCGGAGAACGTTTCGAAAGAGTATCCACGAGCATCTTCGGGGGATAAACCAGAGAACGAGACGGGTAATTACAAATGCCATGCCATAGTTATAATCCGGCTTCCCAAAATTGATAATTCGAGGCTAAAAAGTGTATTCTTCGGTAGGTCAAGAGTTCACGGTGGGTTGCAAGAAGCTGAACGTCATCCCGAATAAATCGCCACCTCCTAAGAAGCCGGACGAGGAAATGTTCATCTTGAGTACGTCAAAGAGACTGATAAACGTAGACGAGCTAAAAAACAGTCTTGAAATCGAGATCAGGACTCCCAGAAATTACATTCCATTACCCGAGCCTGGACCTCCACCGCCGATTATTCAGATCATCCCGAAAACGCCGGAAAAACGCAAGGGCAAAAAGAAGAAAAAATGAAGACATAGAGTAAACTAAACGAAATCAAATCGGAAGAAAATACGAGCGAGATTCGTGAGGTGAGTCGATGCCTTACGACGAAATATCGCACCAGGTGGACAATAACTTCATCTCTTTTAAATTGCCAAAAAATGTTAGGCATGCGGAGAACGTTTCGAAAGACTATCCACGAGCATCTTCGGGGGATAAACCAGAGAACGAGACCGGTAATTACAAATGCCATGCCATAATTCTCCTCCAGCTTTCCAAAATTGAACATTCGAGGCTAAAAAGTGTATTCTTCGGCAGGTCAAGAGTTCACGGTGGGTTGCAAGAAGCTGAACGTCATCCCGAATAAATCGCCACCTCCTAAGAAGCCGGACGAGGAAATGTTCATCTTGAGTACGTCAAAGAGACTGATAAACGTAGACGAGCTAAAAAACAGTCTTGAAATCGAGATCAGGACTCCCAGAAATTACATTCCATTACCCGAGCCTGGACCTCCACCGCCGATTATTCAGATCATCCCGAAAACGCCGGAAAAACGCAAGGGCAAAAAGAAGAAAAAATGAAGACATAGAGTAAACTAAACGAAATCAAATCGGAAGAAAACACGAGCGAGATTCGTGAGGTTATATTGGAGTTCTTCGTCGAATCGCAGAGCTCGATCGCGCCGTTTCTCGGCAGAAGAGAAATTTAATTCCGGAAGCATATTCACGTGAATCGCGCTCGGATATAGTCTCGGAAGTAAACTTCCCCTCTTCCTTCCCGAGGAAGAGCCCAATGAATAGGCGGTGGAGAACGCATCCCCCTTACTCGCGAGTGCCGGAAATTTCGGTGCACGTCAGCGTTTACCCGTACCTCGCACCGAATAACGTAACTCGCTCTAATGCTGGAAATTAAAATTAAAATAATGCCTTTAATTAACACTTCCTAATTAATATTCTCTTTTAGGTGGATGCATCCTGTCCCGAGTATTCGCGACGAATTACCGAGAATCGTGTCACTCCCCCGCCCTCTTCCACACGGATTGAAAATGTTTCGATATTTCCTCCACCTTCGGATATTAATATCTAAAGTTCATACACAATTGCCTATAAATCCTCACGAATGTGATCGAGAATTAATACACCAAAGGTTTCGAAATGTATTATATACGCGCCCTCTGAAATTCATACACTCGTGTACCAAAATCCCAAATGTGCAATCGTACGTACATGAAATTTCGAAATAAATTATAATTCAATCGTAAGAAAAACGAAACATCACCCACATGAAACTTGTACTTCGAGGAGATATTTATAAGGGTACGAAGGAAGACCTCTCGAGATTCCTCGTTACACTCTGAAATATTTAACCCTTGTTAGCGCGAGGGGTGCTCGGAGTCCGGATAAAAAGCTCATAATGTACGCATAGACCGGAAACTTGGCACCGGGTCAACTCTCTTCCGCGAGATTTACGGTCGCCAATAAAATAAACTGTTAACTTCCCCGTCGAATAGGAGACCCTTGACCGAGCAAGCTGCCCGAAGGCACTCGCTTATAAATCGCCCTCGAAATTTCCGACGAAGAGTTCGCACGAAAACCACCCCCGTAATTCGCAGTTGAAAGCTTAGTCAAACGGGTCGTATCCGAATTTCTAAAAAATTGCCCAGAGGAATCACCCTCGATAATAAAAGAAAATATCCTGGGAGATTATTCCCGGTCACGGTGAAAGAATTTTTTTTTCTTCCCATATTTGATATCCTACGTTCCCCTCTATGAGGTACAATGACGCCGGCGCGTAATCGCGTCGGGAATTTATCGGCGGGGCGGAATAGGAATTCGGATGAAACGCGATGGGAATTCGGATGTCCTGTGATGGTACATCCTCGGCGAAGGTCGTCGCTGGCGGAAGTTCGGGATATCGTCTCGATATTCCTCGGCCACTTCCCTTTCAGGCGACAGACTCGACGCGGGAGATTCGAAGGTCCGTCGAGGCCGCGTATTTCGGGGTAATTTTACAAGTGGCGATATTTCATACAAACGAGCCATGAGTATAACGGAAAGTGGCGAGGCGAAGCCTCCATGGGTGTGGAGGAGATACGATGGGATTGAGGGGCCGGAGTGATAAAGCGAGCCATTTGTCCGCGAGAGCGAGAACCTCGCGCCGCCCCGAACACATCCAGACCGTCTAAATGTCAAGAACGACTCCCACTCCATACACCCCATATACCCCATATACGGTATACGATGTATCTCACGCCTCAACCCCTTTGCATACGCATGCATAATCCGATTAGATGCTAAGAACGAAGCGGCCTCTTTCCTTCGATTCCGGCAGGAGAACTTTACGACATCCGAGACGCTCCCGTATTTCGAGGGACCTCCGGAGAAAATGAAACGCAAATTCTTCCCGACTCCTCGGCTAAAGTAAGGCTGCTTTATCTATTTAAAATTCAATGCCAGGTAACTCTCGATAATTTTCACTTATCGGTAATTATCGACTTAACGAAATTTTTATTTTTACCGACGTTTCGAGTTTCAAAGAAATCCAGGCTTCCTTTCCGTTTACGGCTTTTATTATTTATTACAGGTTTTCGGAATTATGGAAAGTCAAAGAAGCATTAGAATTGTTCAAAGTCGGTATTTATTTATTTATAGTGTTGAAAATCGGCAGGTAGGAACATTTTGATAAATATAAAAAAAAGTGAGTGGAGGCGTTAAGGAAAATGCACTTTACTCAGCGGTATTACTGGCAATGCTGTATTGTAGAATGTTTGACGTTAGGTTGCCAGTGGGATGGATTTTATTAAGGGAAAATCGCTTTTAATTTTCGAAATGACCTTTTATACGTAGTAGAGATAATAAAGACGCGACCGGAAGTGTGGCATTTGCCACAAATTCAATAAATCCCAACTTTTGATACTTGTCGATCTATCAATGAGAAACCGACTTTCTTTGATTACCGAAATTTCCTGAAACATCGTTTAAAATAAAAGTTGATCCCAAAACTTCGTTAATTTCGATAATTACCAATTACCCAAATTACGGTATATCGGTATTTGAAGCCGCGACGTATTGAGGTCTCATAGTTTCCAGAAAAATCCGGATTTAATTACAAAAAGTGCATTCTTACGTAAAGTTCCGAGTGCAGCTCGAGGTTGTTCAAATCTCTCTCGGTTCGGCGAGGATACGGAAGGGGAGGAGAATACGGAATCAAGGGGCCAGAGATAATCCGACATTTCGGCGAAGTGGCGCGGAAGTCGCGCGACCTCGTTCCGCGGGAAAAATAGTTGAGCGGCCGCGCGACGAGATGGCGCGCGAGTGCTCGTAACCAGGTCAGGAGCGGTAACGTTCCTCAGGGCGGCCATTCCGCGGCTTTATATCCCCTGGAATTTCCAGCTATCCGCGCCCCGAGCGTGACGGATTCCACGGTTAAAAGCATTTACGTGTACGGGTATCCAGTCGATCTCTCAAACGAGCCTTGCATAAGGTTCGATAAGATTCGAGGACGTTGTTTCGCGATTCTCGCGACTCGCGAGCGGCGCGGAGTAGAGGTTCAAATCTTCCATTGAAATTCCACGGCGAATCGCCCACCCGATCGCGACCGAGGCCGAGTTCATCCTCGAAGAGGCCTTGTATTTGCCGCCTCACGTGACACCCCCCCTGTTACATCCCCCATATCCCAAGTTCCGGGGATTTTTCTGATTTTGCGCGCGGAAAATAAACCCCACCGATCGCCCCGCGTGCCGAGAATACGAGGACCAGGGTTGGGTAGTGACGCGTCATTCGAAGTTTTTTTTTTTTTTACGTAAAATACTTCAGGAAAGTATTTCAACATTCAAGTAAAGTACCTAACAAATTACCCGACAAAGATGGCGGTGTTGTAGCCTAACTTTCTTGAAGTAGCTAAAGTATAAATCACTTGTGAATAAACGTTTCAGTCAGAAAAAAAGGAATACAGAATAATGGCAAGTAGGAGTAAACCATTAAAATGTTGTAGACTTCAACATTCTAGTTTTCCACATATTCATAACAATGCATATTGGTTCGCATGACCTTTAGATACGGGAACAGGAAATCCAGAAACGTAAAGACCCATCTTCATGTAATTTACATCGAATATGAAACTAGAGTAAAGTACCTACTGTAAAGAACCACGTAAATTACCTGGGATATTTTACTTACCCAGCCCTGACGAGGACAAACCAAGACGAGGGTGCCTGATTGGCCGAGAGGTCCTCTCTGGGTCGGTAGACCTAACCTCTACCGGGGAACCACCCGTTCCGACTACAAACTGGATTCTTTAATTCTTTGAGGTTATATCAGGTCGTATGTAGACTCGAAATGACTGCGATTATATGCCGACTCAATATTTACGAGCCGGTTTCAGAAACTCAGACCCCCAGAGGGATATTTTTTCATATATTTCTTCGGCTGTGCATTTCTGAGTGCTCGTTTCCACCGGGCTAAAACCCGACCCTAGATCTCGGACCGAGAGAAAGTTACTAGAATACGGATAGCGGAAACGGTCGACTTGGAATGAAAGAATACGGATGAATACATCTATCCTGTTTTTGCGTACGTAACGTCAAGCTTCGTATTATATCATCCAATACGCGTCTGATATCTTATTGTGTCCTATATTAGGTTTGTTCGTTTCGCCTACACTTTCTACACTTTTACGAAAAGTCTACACTTTCTCTACACTTTCTACCCTTGATCTCGAGCGAGTGCAAGATGTTATACAAGTGTAGGCCGTGAATTCGGCGGCAAATTTCAAAATTGTAAAGACCAACAAACAGGAAAATACAAAGTTTGTCTCTCAAGATCTCAACGTAATATAAATAGAAATAACGATTAATACATTTTCTTCATGTATTGAACGAATTAGCGTTTTAATTTTCTATGTAATCATTAAAAAATTGTACAATCATTATTTATTACGAATTATGTATTGATTTGCATTTTATTTATTTACAGTTATTATGTATTACTACATCATATGTTATTACTATCATTATCATTTGCTAGAAGATGTAATGGAGGAAGTATTATATCTTCATTTTCATCATCATCCGATTCGAATAGCTCCAAAATCCCATACTGTCCCGCTAAATCGGCCATCTTGTACTTTCTTGAGCTTTCTGGCGTTCGGGACGGCGACGAAAGTGTACCTTCTGTACCTTTCAAGAAAAGTGTAGGCCCCTCGTTACCCTCGAGTGTAGAAAGTGTAGACAACGCGAATAAACCTATTATTTCTAACTCCACTTTATACACTTGACTGGCATGCTATGAGGTTCCATTTAAGTGCGGAAAAATTGGACAAAAAAATTCATTCCGAGTTCTGGAATCGAGTTTCGGAGGGTAGATCATTTCCACGTTAACCGGGGATTTTTTATTGGTGGCGAAACCATTGTTGCAAAATCGGGTCGACGAAATCGAAGGCGTAAACGGGTCAAGCCAGTGAACACCAATGGCACTAATCTCGCGTATCATTGACATGTATAATCCAGGCGTGACCCCTCACACGCGCGAATTCTCTTAACCGCTGCAATTAGAGGTTATGACCGGGCTGCAAGTACCCACTG